TTAGTTAGATGATTTATAAAAAATTTTATCGTTTATTTTATTTAATAATACATTTATTTATTTAATATATTTTAGTGCAAAGCTGAGTAGCTTATAACGCTCACCAAAAATATACAGTTTGCTGGTTTGAGCCTGAGAGAAGTCAGTCTTTCGTTAGTTGTTCGATACTTGGCTCAGCCGTACTTAATCATTTGACATGAAAAGATGATTTTGGCTATACAAAATGTTTGCTTAGTCAGTGACAAGGCTACCCATTTTGTAATACTCCATTTTATTCTCAATCCCCTTTCATTTTTAGTTTGAAATACACACTGAATACACACTTAACAATAAAAAGTTGTTAACCATTAGTCGAACAGTGACACATCTTTGTGGTAAAACCAAGCGGGGAAAACCAGAGGCAAGGGCAGGAGAGATATCCGAAGGCCTTAAACAGGAATTGTATTGTTTTCGGCCCAATACGCTTTTACCGAGACCGGTTAATCATCTGTACAACATTCACGGTAACTCAGATGGGTCCTCTTCTCTAACATTATTATTAACCTTAATCTTATTAAATTTAAACACACCGTTTATAAGGCCTTCCTATCTTCCATACAGTACACATAGCCTATAGGATGAATAAAAGGGTGAACGCTTAAAACATATTTAGCACAAATACAGTATTTGCGAAGCAACTGTTACTATAAGTTTGTTAACAATAGGTTTAGTCTACAAAATATCGTCTATAGTCACTTTTGATAGGTTGAAGACGAATCATTGTTCATGAATTATAAATGCTTCTTTCGGTTAACGTCAATCGAATTTAGCAAAGATAATATTGAATATTCTCTTTGTAAGTTCAAAGAACTCCGTGTGACTAGCATCTTCCTTGATAAATATATCAAAAACATTGTTTATTAAAAATAGTAGGTGAACCACCTAGGCAGAGCATATTCATCCATGAACAAAAATGGTTTCACAATTAGCTTTTAATTGTTTTTGGGCTTAAAATTGACGATTCTATGCTTATAGCCTACTTCATGATTTTGTTACAGATTGACGGGGTTAACTGAGAAGCTAATTTACTCTTGATTCAGATTTGGTCACTTTTTACCGAAAGCTTAAGTATACCCTAAAAGTTCCTTCTCTAAGTACATCAAATGTTCAATCTGTTAAGTGCATAAAATACTAGAGAACTATTTGAGAAAAAATTGAATAATTGTAATAAAAAATACAATGCCAGCTTGATCTTTACGATTGTGATGATGAATTGAATACCTTCAAGTCGTTTGGTGCTACTTTTCGAACTTACTATTAACTAACACTACCAGTTTCTCTTAACTAAATTCTACTAGAAACTAATCTTGATCTTGTATGAAAATGCTCCCCCTTACAAGAGACATGTAAATACGCATATAACACGCCAGGTGTAAGATACAAATCTGATTTGAAATTTAAATTTACACGCACTTTTTGGAGCATTAGAGATAAGGGAAGCAGGTTTTTATAGAGAGGATTTATTTAACCAATTAAAAGTTTGGAAACTTAATGAGTTAAGGCAACATAAATCAGAATGTATATTATACTTCAATAATGCTAAAACATTTAAAATTAAAAGTTATTCCAAAGTTATGGCAATTTATAGGTTGATATACATTTAATATGCTTTCCTTAAAACAATAGGCCTATTTATTCTATTTTTAATTTACAAAATCCAAAACTTTCCTATTATACCCTTAACCCAACTAACTAATCTGAAGTTATATAACGATTTCTTTTCGACATGTAACGATATTTCTCGATTAATCATAGCCCTAACAAAACTATGTAAAAAAATTAAGTTGGTAATATCATACACCTTTCACTCTTTTTTTGTACGTTTAGACTAGAATTAACCTATTTGAAACCACATTTTATATTCCTTATCCCATCAATACATTTAGATACAAATGTAAAAGAGAACGACATACTTATCGTATGACCAGAATACACTTACGATAAAACCAAATTGGACCTGAATTATTCATTAAAGATCTCTTTTCATGAAACAAAACCCTCAGAAGACGGGTTTGTTTCTAGGTTATTTTGTTACAAATGTCTCGTTGATATTCATTGTTTATCAATAGTCACCCAGAACACATAGAGAAGTACTAAGAACACTAAGAACAACATACCAAGATTTCAATACAGAAATACAACGCTTAATTACAATTCGGTAAGGATAAAACTAATTTGCCTGTGGTGTAATAAATTGTAACATGGTATTTAATTAAATACTATTAGATTTAAACTTTTTAAACTAGCATTATACGAGTAACTATGTTTCAATATACTTTTGTTTATTATTTACCAAGACTTTTGGAAAAGTGATATATATTTTTTCATACATTAAAACGTTATAAACGATGTTTGTGAACAGCTCAGTTGATGAACTAGACTAATTATGATTTTCTCAAATTTAAAAGTTAAGTTGTGTGTATTGCTTTTTATGCGAGTAGGAGTTCCAAAATAAAGAACTTGTAGTATCTTGAATACATTTAGAACAGAGCTTTATCCAAATGAATGTACGTGGCTGAGAATATTTTACTAGTCTTTGCCACATTGATCAAAATATTTATTTCAAAGGCCAGGATTCCCATATGAACATATATGCAATTCGCACATATATCCATGTAATAAACGTATCCAAGAACTGATGGCTCAGTCAATAATTGTGGGCTTGACTGCGTAACCAAATCCGTTATATATCGGGTTCATTTCTTAGAACTGCCACTAACAAAACCATAGGCCTACTACTGTTCATCCTGGTTAGTCTTTATAATGAGTTTAATCGTTTACTACTTGATATGCTGGAAATGTTCCATCATAGTCCAGATGGCATACTATCTAGCAAAGTGAAGGTTAATAGAGGCTACAAGCTTTTTTATGTAATTAAAACTACTTTATGTATACTTAAGATAAAACTAACATAATATTGTGAAAATAGTATGATGATTTATATGTATGTATGAGTTAATCATCATGATATTTTCTTTTACTTAATCATGTTATTTTGATAATTAATCATTACGAACAAACTGTGCTCTTTCCTTCGACCTTTTATTCTTGTTTTATTCCCTCAAACAACAGAAAAAAGTGGTAAAAAGGATTAAAAATAGATTACACCGAAATTTTTGGTAAATTTATATTACACCTATTGTTGTTCATTTATGATTGGCATTGACCCATTCGCTTAGTATTACAAGATGCTTAGTTTTAATAAAAACACTGAAACCTACATCTTCACGTTCTCCATGTGTAAAATATGCACTGATCTTGAGAAAATATAAGTTATGGTTCAAGGTAAAAGATAAAGAATAATGGTTCCTGAGAGCTGCTGGCATTATGTGATAAGTTCCTGTCAGTCTTGAATAAAGATCCGAAATTTATCACTTGGATTTATACGTGGGTAACTGTAGGTTAGTGTATTCAATTTACTGTACCTTCCTGAATACGTCTTTAGGGTGTTACAAGTTACAAGATTATGTTGTAAATAAATGTTTACAGTCACAAACACTCTCAATAAACAAATATTTACAAACCTTCCAAAATCCTCACAAATGCTCAACGTCTTTTGGCAAAATTTTTTGTTTTTTTTTTGTTTCTACTATCAGTTAATAGTGAGTAACTAAGTTCTTTCCCCTTAAATATTTCGTAAAATTGCTAAAATGTCGTACATAATTGTGCTCATCATTTTTTATTCCTAATGTAGCACCTACCCAACAGGATGTATTACCTTATACATACTAAGGCTGTGTTGTTGACCACTTGTATCTTTTAAAGAATAAAATTAAAAAGATTTCTAAATAAAACTTGGCAGGTGACTAAGGAGATGATGTTCACACTCAAATTTATCATCAATATACTCTTTTACGGAGTAGTAGGCTCTTTGAAGAAGACTATCGCGTACAGCCATGGAAAACTTTTTCTCCCAAATACTGCTCTGTGTTCTTGAAGTCGGAATCTAGAAATATCAATTTTGCTTCTGCTGCGTATATTCTAGCTATGAAAATCTCCTCTGGTCTTTCGTAGCTCAATGTTTGACCAAGGGAGGAGGTTATATACTGCCCAATAACAGTATACGAGAGGTCGTCCAGTGGTCGAAATTCGACCAAAAATATGTAATGTACTCACTTCTCTATTTTCACCCCACACTGTAAATAAACATGTGATTGGAGTTTCTTCCATTTGTTTTGATTTTCTGTTTATATTTCGTTGTTATTTCGTCACCAGCATGGCAACGCATAAAATCCATGTTAATTTTTTCAAATTTTCAAACTCATTTTTTGTGCTTATCTTTGAGCCTATTTAAATTTATAAAGGGATTCTGCACACCTACAGGAAAATTGCTATCTAACGGTATGCGCAGATTTACCCCACGATGCACACAAGCTGAGAAAAAAGGTTTTAAAGAAACATGCTTGCCTATTAATATATAGATAGATACTTTTAGCCTTCTAAAGATTGGCTTACAATGTTTAAAAGGAGCGCCAGATGTCATGGCTCTCAAGGCAGTTTCTTGTAGCCTAAGTACTCCATCACATCCTGAAGCAGCAGAGAAGTATGTCGTACGGTAGGTGACTATGGAACATTCCGTGAAAATGTTTATAAGCTACTCTTCAGTCTAGCTTAAGTGAAGCCTCCCTTATCCTTACGGGTAATTAGACAGCGAAAATTATTGAACTTAAGTACTGGGTAGCATGTAACTTAGGAAAAAAGCTTAGTACTCAACTAAATGTCCTTTTAACGTGTTTAAAAAAAGTTACGGAAAATATAAAACATTTTGATGTTTTAGCTGGAACATCAATATTTTTACTATAGGTTTGAAAACGATTTTAGTCAACAGAAAACTGAACCTATTCTTATTCTACGGTTATAGCGTAAATAAAAAACCCACAGTATTTTAAAGTGTTTTTGAGCAGTTTTTTACGGTTTATAGTACACTGCGATTGATATAAGGTGATTTTCTTTTGTTCCAGAGACCAGCCCGTGTGATTGCAGCCCGCTCTCTAGCGTTGCAGTAGCCCTGGTCTTTCCTTTCCGGACTATAGAACACCTTAGGTAAAATAATCCCATCATCATTAAGTTGAAAAGTATGCTAAATGATTTAACAGTATAGGTACCTAATGATCAGGTTTTTCACCTTGAGAAAATATATCGCCTTCGGAACTGAGCTAGTTGTCCTTGATAACTGGTCTTGAGTAAATAATCCTTGCCAAAGACACAACAAATCTTCGTCAATGACAGTCATTCTCACACATATAGCCAGATTGTAATGCACTGCTTGTCGTCCCTGCTTCAGTGTATTGTAATACACATATTTGTCTTGTATCAAATACACTTGTATCATATGTGTCATTAATAAACTAATTTTATAATACATAATGAGAACTTTGAATGACTGTGTAAAAAGATCCGAAAAGACAACATTGGGAGTGTTTTGTTACCTAATTAATAATGGAGAGAGCAATTCCTGAAAATCTGTATTACTAAGATTATGTGATAAATTGAATTAGTTTTTAAGAATTCTTAAATAATTGTTCGTTATATAAAACTATCACAAAATAGAATAACCAATTCAATAGTTGGATAACCCAATAGTTCGGTTTGCCGTTGTAGCCAAGAAAAATGTTCATTGATTTATAATTATCTTTTAGTTCTACAAAATAAAGATTATTCTTACCCTTAACGTTAATAAACAGAACGGAATAACACGTTTTCAGTTCACAGTTTTTAGATTGATCAATAATGATACAGCCATCTTTGTTTTGATTTAATTTACTCAATTAAATTTTCTCATTTTAACATACGGTAACGCTGATTAACTTTGAATTAAAACTATTGTGATGTGTACAGAATTGTATCAAGATTCAGTTGAAATTCGTTTTCCTGTTTAAAAGAGGGCACAATAAACGAAACTTCTAGCGCTTAAAAGCTTTTTAAACTGTTGGATATCAACAATTGACAATGCATAATTAGGCATAAATAAATTTCTTCTTGCTCATGTACTGATATCTTTTCGACTACTTAAAAAAAGTAGACACAAGAATCCGCCGCCTTTTCTTGGTAGCAAAGTATCTGAGTATAAGCTATGACTGGTTTTTACTACTTAATTAAGTAACGATTTGCAAAAGACGTACACTAATGTCTAGCTAATCTATTTGGCGAGGAAAAGTCCATTTAGCCTATTACAGTACTTCCAAAATATTTTGTTTAACTTATGTTCTATATTGATGTTCACCGATGGAAAAAATCTACTAACATAAGGAAATCCACGCAACTTAAAAAAATCATAAAACTCCACTAAGGTTCGCTAAATTGAGGAAGTTATTCTGTCAGTACTCGGCATGATATAGAATTTCTTTTCCATTTGTATCTTATATATTTTTATGTTTTTTCTATCCACTTATATACAGCTAATGTGAGAAACCCAATAAGTGAAGTCAACACTGGCTGTCCATATTTTATTTCTACTGATTATTTACATGTAACTACATTTTACATGAACCTTCTTGTAACTTCCAAATTCTAACTTAGCCCCATTCTGAGACTTTTTAGATAAATAAATATTGAAACTTTCAATAAAACATGATTGAGATAAGATGCTGGATGACTACAAGGATAAATACTAACATTCTCTACCGCACCTATCAGTTTGCCTGTAATGTAGTCACAAACAGTATTTTATTCATTAAAGTGTCGATTGTATGTTTAGATGGGCTCAATGAGGGCGTACACGGTGCTGATGTGGTTGCTGATACTTCTGGTGACGGTTGCCACGGGGAATGTCCCAGTCTATATGAGGGACAAACCCAGGTCGATACGGGGCTTCAAGAACCACGCACTGTCCACGGCTCGCGGTTTCGGCAAGAGAGCAGACTCTGAGATGATCAGTCCTGACATGCCACCGACTAATGAGGCTAACAGGTAAAATTGGAATGGCAAGGTTTAAGAACTGAATGGATCATCCACTGTGGGACGACTTAGATTTTTTTTGTCTTTATATGTGTAAACTAGCTGATCTGAATTGTACCTGAATCTGAATTGTAATTGTATCTGACTACTAAATTCCCGTACGTAGGACGGGCTAACACCTCGTATGTTATTAAAAGGTAACAAACCAAACGTGTGATTACATTTTCACTAATTATTTGGTGGTAATATTGTATATTCCTTAACTCCCTATCCCCAGACAATTTTGCAATTAAAACTGGAAGTAAAATGTGCATTTACTGGTGCCTATCTACATACGAGGAGTGTCAATAACATTTTTGTTCTCTCTAAAAGGAATACTTTACCTTATATCACTTTTTGGTCTACTTTCGCTTCTTATTTAATACTTTTAACAGTTGTTGAATGATCGGGAACTTGTATCGATGCTTAGAGAGGGTTTAATGTGTGTGAAGTTTGAATAGGGTGACCAAGCAATTCTTGCTATTCTCTAGTTCGATCCGATGTGTGAAATATAAAGTAATTGATCATATGATAGTTTGCTTTTTAAGTACACATTTTTTTGCGAATACAATAAAGGGATAAGTAGTTTTTTTCTACATTTATAAAATTTAATGGTTATCGATATTTGTTCACAGTTTCCCAGCAGATTGGTTTGCAGATGAACTACAAAATAACGGCGAGCTGGCACGACTAATAGTTCACAAGTTCATAGATTCGAATCAGGACGGAGAGCTGTCTGCAGATGAACTGTTAAGGCCATTGTTTGAAAAACCACAAGCTATCCCATATAAGTAAACCCACGACTAAAGCCTGGAGACACTGGAAGGCTTCGAACAACTACAAGTTATCTTTTATTAGATTTAGAGTTTAAAACCAATTTTAGGAAATTTTTTAACTAGGTATTAATCTGTTCCCTGCAATTCTTGTATTGTTCCCATATGTTACTTGGACAAATTTATCACAACGGAAAGAATGACGAAAAACATAACGTAAGGAGAGGTATAGACATAAAATTGTTAATTTTTGGTAGAAATATGACTCTTGCACTTATACTGTACTTTGGTTTGTAGCCACTTTTTAAATGTGTTTGGTTCGATTTCGACCGTAAAGTGGTCATCTTAAATTGAAGGATGGCCATATTCTTTTATCATTTTCTTACCTATAGTTCAACCATTTTATGCTGTGTATAAAGTAAACCATGTCTAACAGCCACATCAGTTGCTTAGTTGCAGGTTTGTGCTGCACAAGTGTATGCAATATACAGTATTTGTAAAGTAATGTCTTAACAAAGAGCGTTACTTCAATTTGATTCTAATTTTAAGAAATCCTCTAGAGCATACACCTTTATTTAAAACATTGCATTTTACCAATAAATAGAAAAGAATTATTAACAAATTATCTAGCTTTTTAAAATATTACCAAAGTTGGTATCCAGAATATTTTAAACCTCAATTTTACAAACTTATAGCATTTTTTTAGAGCCAAATTCCTTGAAAAACACATTTGTTATGTTTGTTTAGCTGTTTTAGTAGTAAAATTGGGGTTTCAGTTAGCCAATGTAAACTACTGTTGAATTGGTCTTGTATTCAAAGTTATTATTTTATAAATCAATCGAAAGAACGCTAGTTCAAACCACAAGGAAAAAAGGAATAATTCTTTGCAGAAACGTTAATTTTAAACTTATTCTTAATACAAATAGTAATAGTAGTATTTTATTATAAAATAATTGCTTTTCTTATAAAAAAAACCCTCGACTCTCTTATAGACTTAATGATTTCTTATCTAATTTAAATTGTATGAACAAACAATGAACATATTTGATCATCTTATAGTGTTGTAGTGTTTTGAAACATTGTTTGTACACCACAGTTTAGTGACTGAAGCTGTCTCCAGGCAACCGCAACCCATTTTTGGGTCGCGGGTTTTGAGCGACTCTCCTTTGAGCCCACCGACTTGGGTCGTTCAAAACCCCTCGACTCCTGTAAATAGTCTCTATGTTTTATTTTACTATCAATGTTGAGGTCAAAAGATGTTTACATAGTCTATGTAAATGGAGTAATTGTTTACAAATAAAATTCCATTTTACCGTTACCAAGCTGCAGAATTTTGACTTTTTATTCCCTACAAATCTCTTTATGTAGTAACAACAAAGGTTTATTAATAAACAAAGGTTTTCAATCACTTACGAATGTTTCTTTTGAGAAGACGTTATGCTGTGTTGAACGTAACTTAAGTAAATTAATAGCATTGTAATAAGGCAGGTGCATATAAAAAACCTTTTGTTCGAAATCTACTATTGGATACATTTGCCATCCATATAAACACAGTGCAGAGCCAAATACTAACCAGTTCTTGCACGTTTCTTACCAAAGGTCAACTACACCAGCCCGTAAATGTATTACAACTGGTTTTGAGTAGTCCAGACTCAATTAAATATAACATTAATAAGAAAACTTTTTGGAAGTTGGTTTCTTAGACATGAAGAGGAAAATGTAAACGACTTTAATTATGCTGGTTATCTTATGATTGAGATCTAAGGAGTCACACTAGCATGCCTTACATATAAATAATTTGTACGTGCTACCTACACTACGAATTAGTCTAAGAGTGTTACACAGCAGAATTCTGCTCATATTTATTTTATAAATATATATAGTGGATTATGTTTAAATAAAATTAAAGCAACATGTAGAATGTGTTAAACACGTCTATTTTTAGCATGCGTTTATTAATAATCCCTCAAAAGGTTCAAAAATGGAATTAGTGTGTTAGCCAACCTAATCCAATTAATGTGCTAGCTAACCATTTTAATTTTAGTTCAAAATATCTATTCAAATTAATGAAATTTGGCAAAAATTTTGAAAAGCAAAAACTGATTAGGTAAGTGGTAGACGCAACCAACACTGAAGGACGCCGTCATTTTATAGTACTGTAATAGTATGGTTAAAGTATAAAGTGGAACCAATCTATTTTGAACACCCAGTATAATTAAACTGGCATATTTTTATTTTTGTCAAATGTTATAAAGATCAAACTGAAAACCTCATAGTTAGTTGATTTGATTGTTAGGTTGGTTAGGTTGTTGGTTGTTAGGTTGTTGGGAAGTTTATTCATACTGTACTTGACTTTTCTCTGACCAAAAGTAAACACATTCAAGACATCTAAGGGGCAAGTTGACGTCTGTAAATTAGTCTTTTTTATAATTTGCACCAACAAATTTTTTAAGACTTCCATCACATAAGTTAGCAATGTAAAACTATGTTTAATTGTGATATATTGACAGATGAAATACTGAGAGATTAAATGCTTATGGTAGCTTGAAACATTGTACTTCCACACCATAAAATATGAATCCCAAACTGTTAAAGGTTTAGTGGGGAGCCAATAACGTTTTAAGTGGATTTACTCACAATGGAGTTTGGTTTATTTGGCACATTGCCTTATACGATGTGGATATAGCAAACACACTGAATGGTTTACATCATCTCCAGTGTTGAGGATGAAGTTGAGTTGAATTATTGGACTTATTAGGATCATATAAGTGATTGGTTGTATAAAAATTACATTGCTACAGAATTAATAAAGTCTCCTTCATCTCTGAAATACTAAGCAAAATGTCTGATCTGAAACACGAGTTAACCGATTTTTTTACTACAAACTACCGATACAAAATATAGGAGAAATCACATATTTTTTATCTGGGACATTTTTGTGATTAAGGGATATTGTTGTGATTTATATCCTAAAATCTCAATATATCACCAAAAATAAAGTTAGCCATGTTGTTTACAATTTGACAATATAATACAAATCCTTAAACTGTTTACTTAAAAGAAAAATGTTAATTGTAAGCCTATAATCTAAACGAATTTCAAAGCACGATGAATTTTTTATAATTGTATATACTGTTTATACGTGTTCAATATAATCATATAAATGCCATTTTCAAGGTAGAAACACGTACTAGGTTATTTTTCAATCATAAATAACAATGCAATATTAGAAAACACTGATCATTTATGTACAGTATTAGAAATTTATTGAATTTCCCAAAAAAAAACCCACGCTTCGACCTCTGAAGGTTGTATTGCTCTGAACCCACACAACGTTGCGAGATTGTTATCAAAATATTGCGACCACTTTTCAAGGTAAGGTTTAATAATATTAGAATTTGTCTGAACGTAACTCTTTTTATAAGCAAATGATATTTCAGTGGCTCGATTGTAGTGCTTATACAAATATGTTTATTGAATGGTACCAGGTTTTTGTTTGTGTCGTGAGTATGAGTTGTTTAAATTATATAAAATAAACCTAATCATACACTACGAATTAGAATGAAATTATCTAAAATATAAATCTTACTCATGTTGGGATGAATTCCTATCAACGAAATTGTGTTTTTTTAATTGATTTAAGAAAATAACTTCTTCGTACTAACAAAAAGGAACTTTGTAGGCCATTGGGGTAGTAGTCGTGATCGGTCTCGGCTTACCAACTAAATGCACAATCAAAAAAAACTATTTAACTGCCCTGGTTGAATAAGTAATTACAAATTTGTAAATTAAATAAAAGATTACCAAGTTAATCCTGTAACAAGTAAAACCTACTGTGGTATATAGTTTTAGTTTGGTATTTAGTTTATTAAAAATCATGCTTCAGGTGGTACTTTCCAAAGTAAAAAGTAAACATTACACTAGTATTATTTTATTAGACTGGTTCTAGTTAACCTTACTGATTTACGTAGTAGATACATATAGATACTGCTTCTGCTAACTTTGAAGGACGCTTAAAACCCATGGAATATTAGTTTTTGTTTAGTTTTTCAATATACACATCCAGATAACATTATTGTTTGCTTGATAAATGCAAATCTTATCAATTTCAGAATACAGTAGTGATTTAAAACATCTAAATAATATTACCTTTACTATACCCAGAGTACAAATACTACCCAACGTAACAATGGAACAACAATTTTAGTTTCAAATTCAGACCAATCGTTTTAACTTAAAAGAATTATCAAAATATTTAAGTTCACATAATGTGAAGCACTGTTAACGTTTTATATAATGTAAAATATATTTTATACTTTACTTTACTTTAATACTTTTTAATGAAATGGTGACCATAGAAAATAAGCCAAGTATGAATGGAGATGAGTGTAGGATGAGTGTAGATAAGTGGCGCGATCTTTTAGTCTTGTTAGTGACTAAGACCGACTTATTCCTTAGTCACAGCTGTTAATTAATAGCCTATACAGCTAATGGCAACTAAGGGACCTTACAGTTCATAGTGGAATCCAAAACACATTTTTGCCTTGGTATATACGAATTGGTCTAATTAGCAGGATAGCATTGCGTATAGTTGTAGTACTCACTCGGGCGGACGTTAATCCACACCAGGGAGTATTGAATCCACAGTTCATGCCTATAAATATCCACAATTCATGACCTCCTAGTAGCTGGATTACAGGACGACGTCACCCATCCCAGTACAGAAAAAAATCATAAACTTTCAGTCTGCTGGAAACTACACACTTAAAAAAGTACAAAAAAATATTTGTATGGAACATTGTTTGGGTATAACAATTTATAATGTACTCTTATACATTCCTTACTATACAGGATATTAAGTATTTCATGGATTTACCTAGTTAAGCACTACCTAAACCTACAACACAATTTTGGCAATTCAATTTGTATTGTCTGATTGAAAGAGTGACGTGACAACATGTCAACCAAGATATTTATGCAAGTATAATTTTACATTACTTACCTTTGCACACGTAGCCAATTCATAGAAACAAACTGCAAATTACATGTAAAAGAAGTTATTGAAATTATTCATCCTTACAGAAATATTGTTTATTCTCTCACAAGAAAACAAGGTAATCTTGTCTTTAACAGAAGCGCTGTAGCTATGGAATAAGCTGACAAGATCACCGAGCCTGTGTCCCATCTTTGAGTTGTGTTCTGCCTTCAAGTAGTGTTTTATGTAAAAAGTATTTTCAATCTCTTTATCTTTACTAGACACCTTTAGGTACAGTCTGAATATTTTCAATATATATTTTCAATTAAATTCAAATTCAATTCAATATCCATTAATGTGGCAAAATTAAAACTAGCACTACTGTCTACTACCAATACGATTTATAGACTTCACCAAGAATACAAAATTACTACTCTTTAAAAAAAAACCACTTTTAGAATTTTTATGTAAAAAATTTGTTTTATCATCAAAGAAAATATAATTTTATGCGTATTAGTTAGGCCTATAGAATTTATTTACAGAAACGTTTCAAGTTTCCAACCCTACAC